TATAGCACATACAGCTACCGAAGTTGGCCGAGCGGCTCAGTCAAGCCTAAGGCATATGCTTCGGCCCGACTGAGCCGTGCTGAAAGCCGAAGCTGGCCGAATGGCCGGCCATTAGCTGGCCGACAGCCTGCTTCTGGCAGCTGGGCAGAGCCGGCCGTCTTCTCACGCCTGGCTCCGGCCACTTGCAGAGAGGTCAGCGTCCCTGGTTACCAGCTAACCAGGGACACTGATCTCCAGACAGCAAACTCTCCCGGGCGCTCCGGGAGTCTCCCGCTGCCGGCCGCCCAGGAGAGAAACACTTTTTCCAAGAAAGGTTTACTTTGCTCGATCAAGCAGAGTAAAACTTTCCCTGCTTCCTCTTATTTTTTATTCTGACACGGAGCCGCTGGCTGCCGTCAGAATAAAAAATTGAGCATGAGCATGTTCAGCCGACCCGAAGCCACACGAAGCCACTCGATGTACGGCTGATTTGAGCCGATATACGGCTCATATCAGCCATACCAGCCTGAAGTGAATAGCCGAACAGCGTTTGGCTCACTTCGCTTCAGGTCGTAAGCTGCCTACAGCTTAGTGAATAGACCCCTATGTTTCTGTGGAGGCTGCCATTGCTGACCTCCTTCAAAAAAGGTTATTTTTTCCTTCTGTCTTGCTGAGTCTTTTGCTTCCATACTTTCTAAATAACTGATCCAGAATATACAGTAACATACACCCGCCCCAAGATCCTTTGCGGCCACCCAAGACTCTTCAGATGTTCGGACGGGAGCGCGTTTCAAAGACACAGGGTAAGTTTAGACCTGTTTCAAAAGGTTTTGGTTTTTTTTCAAAAGTTTTTGCATATATCTAATGCTCGCTAGCAGTAGATATATGCAAAAAAAGTGAGGGTTTAATAACCTTCACTTAATCATATGCACCTTGCAGGATTGTTGTCATTCATCAAAGGCATTTGGAGAGTGCAATTTAGGCACATCTAAACCTTCCTATTCTGTCCTATATCATCAGGACCTTCCCTTTAATAAGACAACCTGAGACAGCATCTCTTTTGGTCACATGGGGGGGCAGCCCCCAGAGCAACATGCTTATATATACATCTCCCTGCCCAACTTTTAGCACTCTGGGACACTATGACCAGCATCCTGCCCAGCTCCTTGGCAACCAAAGATGGCAATGGTTTCCAGGAGCTGGGCGGGAAGCCGGCTGGGGGGAGGGCTGGATACTCAAACCCACCCCCACCCTGCCTCAGGTGGCAAAAAGGTTAGGGACACCACTGTATATCACCACTGTATATCATATAATTTCCTTTATAGCAGAGGTTCTCCACCTTTTTAACCTCAAGACCCAAATTTGTCCTTGATCATTAAGTTGCAACCATCGTCGCACTTCACTGGAATGCACGGCATTGCGGTACCGCGTGTTCCGGTGCGGGTGATCAAAGTGTGGGCGGGAGGTGCCATTCAAATGAATGATAACACAATGCACATGCCACACTAGACCGCGTGGTAGGTTCAATTGCATTGTTACTGTGCGATTAACGCACTATGCAAAGTGTGAAAAACAGACAGACACACACAACCACAGAGACAGACTCACAGGCATTCTCACATCCATTAATTTTTTCCACTCGGTCTCCCTACCTTATAAGAACAGGAGTGGATTCTCAGCCTATGGTCCAGTGTGGGCTGCTGTGCTGTGACTGAGCTCCATCCATATGTGCGTTGCTTATACAGCTCCCTTGTACGTCCTGTTGAGGTGTCGGGAGCCAGAATGTGATGTCACTCCAGTCCAGGCACCTCTACAAGGCACGGGAGGGAGCTGTAAGAAACACATGTATGGATGGAGCTCCCTAGTGGTCATACCTCCAGCCCACGCCACAAGTGACCAGTTGTGACCACTTCTGGATCACAACCCACCATTTGAGAATCATGGTTTTATAGGAACCACATTCAAGCTGTCATTTCTGTGATGGTCTAATGTAAAACAAGCACACCCTTTTCACATATGATCCAGTAGTTCCCATCGATGAATACAGACGGATTACATCCCATATTGAAGTAAAATGTACACAAAGTAAGGTAAACAAAAAACAGTTTAATATACTGAATTCTATAACCTGACAGCCTGCATTAATGCAGTTATAACAATGCAAATACAGCCTGGGGTACATTAGGAGGCTATAAATGTGTGAATGTGAATGGTGAATATACCACTTACATTTATTTACACTTATTTACACATTCAATTTCCTTTATACATAAGTATAATGAAACTGTACACTTATAATGAACAATTAAAGAACATTTCAGTAAATATTTACAGTGCTTGGCTGTGTTGCAGATAGACCATAATCTTCTTTTATCCCGGAGTCTTTTTTCTTCTTCTTCAATTAAAAGGCTCCTTCACACCAGACATATTTGTTGCATGGACACATGAAGACGCATTGTGAGAGCACTTGTATCCACCATTGTGCTGTTTTGCGATGGGAAGTTCTGCACATTATATATATAGTATTTTGTTCATTGCCCTGCACAGCTTAATTGGATAATTTACTCTCACCACTCACTCGAGTGACAGCTATAACATTTTGGATTTCCCCTCCTTTTTATTTCAGTGACAGGACAAATAGAGGGAAAAATCTTTTTAGTGGGGACACATACAGCACCAAAAACACCCTGGGGTGGGCAACTTTGGCTCTCCAGCTGTGTTTTAAGTACAAACACAACATACAAATACAAATCCCAACATGGAACTTGTAGTTCCCCAACAGTTGGAAGGACGGAGTTGCTTACCCTTGGTCTAACCCTTCCCCACTCTATCCAAAACTGTGCATTTGCATACACCCTAAAACCCAAATGATTTTTCAGATTAGCTAAATACAATCCATGTGCATAAAAGCAAAAGCTGTGCAACATTTACAGATTGTTTAAGTCAGAAAGCAGACACGGAATAGAAAAGCCTGACCCCTGCCAGCATGCTGCAAAGAAGGACTCTTGCTCTCCATATGACAACAGTGGGTTAGAGCGAGGGCTCTTGAATTGGCAGAGAACATGAGCTTTGCTGATAGGAGAGCTCTAGCTCTGACTCAGCAGTGGGTATGCTGGACCTCTGCAGAGAGACCACTCCTTCCCCACAGAGAGCAAGAGTCCTTTTCTGTGGTATCCTGGCAGGGAATGGACGGTCTTTTCTACTCAGGCTGTATCTGTTTTCTAAAGTAATCAAACTGTAAGACTTTACACAGCAGTTGTTTTGATGCACCCGGAATGAATGCAGATGATAAAAGTTCAGTTGGGCTTTAATATAATTGCATGGGATCCTTCGGAACTGCAGTTTGGTGCACGTGAGCACACAAGGCAGTGTTTGCAACTACTGCTGATATGAATGAGTCATAAAGGAGTTTTCCAGTTTGACAGGATACTGCTCATCTGCTCCTTACAACCCTCTCTGGGATTCCCTCTAACTCCCGTGTTTTAGACTTCACATGTATGGCCATCTACTGGTGAAAGCTAGTGTCACAGTACAGCCATTGTAGATGAATAATGGAATTATAGGGATCTATTTATCAATGCTTTCACCCAAACTTCACGCAATTCTCACCCATGATTCATACAGGTGTCAACCAAGATTCACACATTTTTCTAAATCAATCTTAGTTACAAAATGATGTGGATCTTTGGTGAGAACATTGATAAACTGACTGCTTAGTTTGTCAGGAAACAGCAGATGTGCTAAGAGGAATGTGTATGTATTCATAGAGGGGTCAGATTTCTGTTTTAACTTGAAATTTAAAAGGGACCTGCATTCCATTTTACACTTTTAAACATAAATATCCCGCCTAGCAGCAGATACAGCAAGATTTCTGCTGTTATTAGCCAGCAAATCCTCTCTTTTGCTCTCTAATTTTGGTTCACTCTAATGAGTGTGCATGAATTTCACCCACTTTAAGTCTTGCCAATTACCATTCCACTGTCCCATGAGATTGCCTTCACTCAGCTGTAGATCCTCAAATCATCTCTGAATTGGTGCTGACACTGTCCTTCCTTCTGGAGGGTGGCTACTTTTGTTCCCCATGGTCCCTGGGTGTGTTGTGAAGTAGTCATCGCTCCAATCCTGTGATGGACTACAATCTCATGTTTAGTTTATTAATTTGTATTGAGATTGTAGTCCATCACGAGAGCGAGCTTAGAGCGGTGGCTACTTTACTACCCACACAGGGACCACGGGGAACAGAAGGAGCCAGCCTCCAGAAGGAAGGACAGTGTCAGCACCAATTCAGAGATGATTTGAGGATCTACAGGTTAGTGATACACATTTTGCACACTTGGCACATTTAGGTTTCTGACCAATATTTTGTAAGCTTTGATTAAATTGCCTTGCCCACAACTGTCATGTTCCCAAAATGCTAATTCTTGTAAGGGAAGCATTTTCTGTTGAGCAGACCAGTCACCTGGACTGGCTATCTATGTCCTGGGTTACTGGCCTCCTCATAGTTACAAAGTATTTGAGGTTGAAAAAAGACACAGGTCCATCAAGTTCAACCTTTGTGTGTGTGTGTTGTGCGTGCGTGTACATAAGAGTCCCTGTGTGGTCTAGTATTTAAGTGTACCCGTACCCCTCTATGTTGCGGTCTCTTAAGATGGTATCTAATTGATTTTTGAACAAATCAATATTCCTTGCAGATACCACTGCTTACCACTCCCTGTATCCGGATAGGCATCGGGAGCATTTGGGCGAGTAAAAGTACTCGCCCAAAAACTTGGTATCGGCACTGATTCTATTATCGGTATTGGTGTCTCCCTAAATTTAAGGAAAGTGTTATTAAATACTGTTATTGGAAAAAAAAATTAACAAAGCTTTACTCATGCTACTGCTTTTTTTCCAGCTTCATAGTTGATGCACAAACTTCTGTTTTCAATTGAGTGATACCCTAGCTATATAAAATCAATAAATTAAGCTAAAATAAGTAATAATGCCTGTAATGAAACTTGATATCTAAAAAAAAAAAAAGAAGCTGTGCATTGTTATAACATTATAGCACAGGAGAAATATAAGTGATGAGCCATTTCACTGGCACATTGGTCCCTGATGTGACACTTAAAGATATTGTCCCTTAGACTACATCTTTTGCTACATAGAGTACCGCTTATTTACACGGTCAGGACAGTCCAGTGAACGTTTCCTCTGGTGTTCTTTCTGCTCGTTCCATTCGTCTGCAGGTTTGTATGTTCCCAGCATTATTTCCAGTCTCTCCGAAGGGGTCCTCGTGCAGGGGTACAAAACATAGGTGTACATTAAGGAGGCCGCCACACCTCCTACCAGTGGCCCAACCCAGAAGACCTTAGAGAAAAAAAAATGAATGTATATTTTAGTGCTACATCTCTCATTAAATAACAAGATGACCTACACTAAATGTATCTAGACTAGAACTTTAGCAGTTGTGATTCTGCCATGGTCAAACAGGCAATGCGTACAACTGCACAATGACCTTGAGGCCTTTGAGCCCTTGAGGTTACCAAGAGGAATTTGTGCGACTTTATAGTTTGTGCTAGGGTTTACTTAAAGTGACACTAAACTCAGGAGTTAAATCTTAAAAATGCATTCAAGTTCCTTAACTATTAACAAAAATGTATCTTCTTTGTGTATCACTCGGCTGTAGATCATTAAATCATTTCTGAAATGGTGTTGTAAAGTAGCCACCTCTCCAAGCTCACTCCTTCGATGGACTACAATCTCAATACAAATTAGTAAACTAAACATGAGTTTGTAGTTCATCATGGGAGTGAGCTTGGAGCTGTGGCTACTTTACAACACACACAGGGAGCATGGGGAACAAAAGTAGCCACCCTCCAGAAGGAAGGAAAATATCAGTACCAATTCAGAGATGATTTAACTCCTGAGCTTAGTGTTACTTTAATGCCCAATTAAACCCTTGTGTTTTATTTAGTCCAATGCAGTCAAGTTGGGTAAAAAGTACAATATGTGTCTTTATTTTAATTAAAATGTTTTCATTTTTATTATGAACTATTGCTGCACCTCTGTATCCAGCTGCCCAGCTTCTGTATATTGTTTGTAAATTATATGTATATGAGGCAGCCATGTTTGTTTACTGCATAGGAAGGATCTGTTTCATGCTATTTAGTGCTACATATATTGTAGCTCTGTACTGTTTCTTCTCACAGTGCAGTTAGAAGCGTTGACCAACTTACTGCACACAATGTACTACCGATGTGGCTAATATCTTATAATTAGAAAGGTAAAATATATCTAAAGCCAATTTTATTTTTCATTATGAATAGAGTAGTCAATAGTATAAACCTCAGATTGTTTTTTTGTGAAGTCTGTGTCCTATAGGGGAGATTTTCCTTCACAATAGGAAGTGAGAGGAAATAGCCCATTAGACTGTGGTTACAGGAACAACTGTCATTGAAGGAGAACTATTGGGTGAGTGAATTACACTCATCCCTATAGTTAGAGCCGACGTGTGACATTGAAATTGTCATACGTCGGCTCTATTAATCGGGAAGTGAGCGAAAACATTATATTTAACCAATCAGTTTTATATTCGTACCTTCACCATATTTATATGACACGTGTATTTATTAACGTTCATGCACATATGCACCTTTGGATTGCATTTAGTTGCAAGTAGGATTTGATCACTTATATTGGTTTCGTTTGTGGTATAAATATAGCACGTATCACAATACCAAGCGCAGCACACTGGTTCACAAACGAGCGAAAACATACCGCCACTCCCTCACTTCCTGATCATCTCCCTGCAGAGAGCGGTTACTGTTGGTCACCGCTCACCCCAGGGATTCCCTCCTCCCCTCTTCGTTTCTCCAACGCTGACTGGAGGGATGAGTGGGGAGTAGATGTGCATAGCTGGCTCTGACTCTAGATAGGCAGAGCCCACTGTCAATCAGTCAGTGGGGTGGATCTCAGCATTGTTGGGATCCGTCCTGGCTGCGGCGCTCCCAGCATGTAGCATATACTGAGTTTTGGGTCACGGGAGGACGTTAGTATATGTCCTTATCGAGACCCTAAAGAGAACTTGGGGAAAAAAGGTTACCCAATAGTTCTCCTTTAATAGAAGATTTCCCCTCTTTTGCTGTTGTGTTTAAAATTCCATATAGTATAAACATATAAAGTAGATATAATATTTTGAAACACAGAGCATATGGGTCATTTCCATATCAATTTCATAATTCAAAAAGACTTCTGTAACTTTTTACCACTGTATGTATTTCATAAGCAGAGTTCATCATGTTATTCTCACTGATTCTAATGAACTAAGAAAATTAAACCAAAATGCAGGGCACAAATTCTTACAGATAGCTTACAATTGGCATTCTAATTTTCTTACCCAGTGATTGCGAAAGCTTCTTGTGATGACAGCTGGAGAGAAAGATCGTGCAGGATTCATTGAGCAGCCAGTGAAATATATCTGGAATATTTAAAACATTATTATTATTGTTATTAAGAAAGTATTGCAAAGCCAAAGAAGTACACACATTGCGGACTTCAGGCTCACGCTTACCAGTAATGACCAGTTTCCAAAGAGGATATACAGGGCTGTCCCTATGATGAGGCAGTCTGAGGCTGTTGCCGCAGGCAGAATCTCTTTGGGTCACATGGGGGGCGGGAGTGCGGCATGGCTGCATTGTTGCACAATGTTTGCAGTGTAGTTGCGGCCCCCTTTCCGACCAGAGCATCCAAGATTGCAAAAGCCAGGTAGGGAGCTGTGCAAGGGCCATAGACACCTCTCTGCTTAGCTCTTAATAAGCTGGGTCTCTGTGGCCGGCATCCCACCCAGCTCTTGGCAACCGGTGACGTTACTGGTTGCCAGGGGCTGGGTAAGATGCCAGCCAGAGCTGGAGTTAGAACTGTGCGGGGAGCTAATGCAGAGGCCCCCCAGGGTTAGCATGCACCACCAGCAAACCCCCCTGACCTCAGGTAGCAAAAAGGCTAGGGACACTCACCCAAACAGCCAGTCAGTCCACCCGTGAATGTGCGCCACATATTATTTTCAACAGGTAAATTTCAATAGGACTGAAATGAATGAAAACTGCAGCGCACATACACAAGTGGCTCCAAAGACTTTGAAAAAAAGACAGTGTTGTACAGGAAGTTCACAATGTACAAATCACCAGAAACCTAATTTTCTGGGGTGAACATGTCCTATTTGAGAAATGGCCACCACTGGTTGAATTGTTCCGTGAAGGGACTGCACTTTTACTGTACTCTATTGACTGTGGTACGGATCAGGAATAATCATACCGATAGGGAGGTTAAACAATAACAACTGGGCGGAGTCGGCTATGACGTCCCACCCAGCTCTGCCTAGTTGTTATTCCTTGGCCGGGACCTACTAGAAGACTTTGGCAGGTGACGGCCAATAGGAAACAGTTGGGCGCAGCTAACTGTCACTGCTAGCTCTGCCTAATTGTTTTTTTCTCCCCTTTTTTTCTTTTTCTTTCCTTTCTTTAAAATATGTTTTTTTAAATCTTCCTATTTTTTATCATTTTTTAAATCATTTTGCTGATTTTTTTTCACATTCTTTGCACTTATTTTCTATTCTATTTTCTATTCTGCTTGGTACCAAGCAGAATAGCCGAGCCGAATGCTACTCAGTGGCATTCGGCTATTCACTCACTGCCGTTCCGCCCCTATGAGAATAGGAGCGGACAGCAGCTTAGCTTAGCTCAGTCGGCTGAGTCGAAGTCCTTCTGCACTCTGGCTCAGCCGTACATGCAGAGCCAATGTGAGTATCAGCCGTACTGAGACGGAGTGAATAGCCAAACCTCATTCGGCTCTTTGTGAATAACCCTGTTTATCATTAGGGTCAGAGGACATTCAAGTAGAGAAGCCAATGTGTTTTGGGGGCCCAAAGCACACCCCCTTCATTAGGGCTAAATTAGAGAAATCATGTATGTGGACTACAATCTCTGTGCTTGAAAGTTGTATGGCAGTACTTTAGGCTTATCAGCAGGTGGTTTGGCAGCAACAAAATCTAATTGGTTGTCGTGGATGACTGTATACCATCACTCAATGCTCAAGTCAACCATAAAAAGCAATAGTTGTTTGGGAGATTCCCTGTTGGAAGAAATTTAGTAAGTTACTTACTCCAACAAGATGTCCCAGAGTGACAGAAAGGCCGATGGAAATAGCCGGAGATCCTACATTATCACTTCGGCGTATGTCAGTGGTTGCAAAGATGCACAAAACCAGTTGGAAGGTAAGAATAATCTCAACGACGAGACCCAGTCCTGGAAGTGTGTTGTTACTGAGCTATAGTAATAAAATAAAATTTGTGTCAGTGGCAATCGTATACAGCATGCACTATAAAAACAAATACACGTTAAACCAAAGATATTGTTTGGAAATAACTGCTAAGATCAATATTACAGGATAACAATATTTAGAGAAGGAAATCCTCCCATCTGCCACAATATCATATCCATTTAAGTTGTTGTAGGTATATTATTTCCTCGTGAACTTCTAGTTTGGTTGTTCGTAAAGCTAACTTAATAGGAGTTTGGAGAGAACCTAACCTAGACATACTGCAGAAAAAGAAGGTTTTGTCTATTACAGCCATTACAATGGAAAATGGATTCATGAAGCCACCAAGTAATAACTAAACATGTAAATGATAGTTAACTTATCTCCATAATAAAGGCCAAACACCAGACACAGCTCTTTTTTTTAGTGAACAAAGTGGGAAGAGTTAAATATTCTATTAGAACCTCATTGGGGGGACTTACTCTTACTTCCTGTGTGTTACTGGTACAGGGAGTAAGGGTGATCTTTTTAATAGTGGCAAATGCAGCAATAAAACATTGTTTTTTAGTTGCACGTGGAAGGGTTAGAATTAGAACATCTGTTGGGCTTTTTGTGCTGCCCATGTCCCTAACGGAAAGATTATCTTCCCTTACTCTGTGGCTAATGGGACAGGAAGGTGGAGAGGGGACCCCACCAACCAATAGCAATAAAAACACTATCAGGTTGATTTAAAAACCTTCCACACAGCAAACAGCTCTGCAAAGGTGATTAGGAACTATGCAACTCAGCTCCATCTAGTGGCTTTAATTTAATCCGAATCCTGTTCGCAGAGCCGCTCACTGTATAGGAAGCAAGAGTAGAACCAACAAATCTAGATGTGAAATACTCCCAAAAAATATAGACAATTCCCAAAAAATGCTAAATATAGCACAATTCCCCAAAAAAGGAAAACCCAAAGCATGGAAGCAAATGTGAAATCAAAACATGTTTTGCTATAAACATTTAAGTATAATTCCAGTAACCTGAGCAACCATTTAAACACTGTTAGGGCATGTGTACACAGGCGTTGTTTCTCCATGTTTGATGTGCTTCACACACGCAATAGATTCCTATTAACTTTATTAAAATAGTGCAGATTACAGTTTAGAGGCTTTATTTGTTCCAGTTTGTGTTGTGTTTCTAAGGAAGCAATAAGGTCCTTTTGAGGTATATTTGGATTGCAAGCAGAGTAGCTCGAAAATGTCTGACATCAACGCCAGTCTACACATGCCCAGAAAAAACGGTTTTAAAAATATATTTGTTTACAGTTTTATCATAATGCGTTGTTTGATAAAATGTTATATAGACAGCATAACAGATTTCTTAGAACCTACAGGTAACATTCAGATATCTAAACAATCAGAAAAGTCTGGTAGATATTTCATGATGCTGTACTCTTCTTAAAGTGACACTAAACTTTTTAAATGTTAAAAACATATTCAAGTACCTTAACTTTTAACAAAAATGTATCTTATTTGTGTATCACTCGGCTGTCGATCCTCAAATGATCTCTGAATTGGTGCTGACACTGTCCCTCCTTCTGAAGGGTGGTTACTTTTGTCCCCCATAGTCCCTGTGTATTTTCTAATGTAGCCACCGCTCCCAGCTCACTTTTGTGATGGACTACAATCTCAATACAAATTAGTAAACTAAACATGAGATTGTAGTCCATCACGGGAGTGAGCTTGGAGGGGTGACTACTTTACTACACAAAGGGAGAATGGGAAAAAAAAGTAGCCACCCTCCAGAAGGAATTTCAGTGTCAGCACCATTTCAGAGATGATTTGAGGATCTATAGCTGAGTGATACACAAATAAAGGTTCCCATACACCTATTGATCTTCATTCAGAAATCGTCCACAAATGGTCTTTCGAACGATAATCGATCAGTTGATGGGACACCAACGATTTTAATTACTGTACTCCTGGCCGAATTTCCTCAATTGGTCAGGCTGGAAAACTTTTTTTGAACTGAACAAAAATCGATGGATTAGTGGCATTTTTGGACTAAAAAAATTGCAACAAGAACACTGCAAACGAAAATCCATTCGGTCGATCGACAAAATTAGGTGAGTTAGTATTGCTAACGAATGATTATCGAAATCGACATTGGTCTGTGCATGATGGGGTATCGAGCTAGAATCGAATGAGGGTTCTTGGGAGCAACAAAAATTTTCAATCGAAAATCTAAAGCTGTATAGCCAGCTTAAGATACATTTGTGTTCATAGTTAGGGAACTCGTATGTATTTTTTAAGATTTAACTCCTGAGTTTAGTGTCACTTTTTTTTTTAGTGTTCCTGCAGTCTCTCTCTAAGATTTATCCCATATTTTTGTTATCCATCTCTGGAGTCATTCTATCTTATCATTATCTTTGTGTAAGTGAGATCTCCAGAACTGCACACAGTATTCTAAATGAGGTCTAAATAAAGATTTATATAGGCGAATCAGAACCTTCCATCTGCTGTTAAACCCCCTGTGGCAATTCTATACATAGCATGCTATACTATGCTTTGTAACACTGTCCTTATTAATATATGAATACCATTATTTTTAACAAACTATTTTAAACTTTGAAACGTTGATTAAATGATACAGGGTGCTTTCATATGAATAAATTGTGCACTTAAATTGACATTAAAGACAAACATTTGTTTGCCTCCCCCCCCCCCATGTTAATGTTAGCACTTACCTTAAATGATGTTTCTTCTTCTTTCCTGATGTTTTAATCTGCGGTGCGGCAGCTCTCCGATCCAACGCTGACTCCTCTGTCCTTGCAGGCACTTCCAATCCCGCGGTGTCTGCATGCGGGTGCACGCGTCCATAGACTTACCTTGCGACTCTTCTCGTCTCCCGGCCGAAAATCCGAACTGCGCCCACCCCAAGATCCTTTGCGGCCGCCCGAGCAGTTTCGGATTCTCGGACGGGAGCGCGGGGCGAAGACGGGGTAAGTTTCAACTGCTGTTAAAGCGTTTTTTTTATTTTTATACTTTTTGCATATATCTACTGCTTGCTTGCTAGCAGTAGATATATGCAAAAAAAACCGGAGGGGTTAGAAACCCTTTAAATCAGCTGCTACACACAATTTGAACCAAGCAAGGTGATCAGAGCAGATGGTGTGTTCTTCAACTTGATATGTATTCAAGCACACTCGTCATGGTGCAAAAACAGAGGTTACTATCACTGACTTCTCATTTGGAAAATGTTAGCTGCCTGGCTGTCATGCTGATGCTTTCACTTTAAACCTTTAAGAGTCACTGACTAGGAATTAATATAGAGATATGGAAATGTATCTTTTCTCTGACTTTCACTTGCGGCATGTGTGTTCCACATCTGTGACTCAGACATATCAAAGGCAGACACAGACAGACAACTAGTGCTTGCAGATGCTGGTCAACAACGGCAGCCCCCATACTTATTTCATGACAGGTATGCTTTAAATACGTTGGGCAGCATTATTGTAATAGTAGATTTAAATGAATGTGTCACTAGGAACAAAATGACACACATTTTTAACATTTTTAACGTTCGTATGACAAGTTTCTAAAAATAATGTTTCTAGTTGCTACACGAGAGTGTAAATAGCTGAGCCTAAAATGCCTGACACCCATATTAAGATTGCAATACATATATATATATATATTTATGTACAATATTTTAATATAGTTGTAAATAGTAAATATCTGTCTTTTTATTGTAAAAAGCGAAAACAATAAAGGTCAAAACGAGCATCACGCTTCTTTACGATTTAAGATTAATAACTTGATCAGCCCCTTGATAGATGCTACAAATATAGGCCATCTATAATCCTTAAATCGTACATATTAAGACAGCTGTCAGTCATCTGTACAGTGATCATTTGTGGTTTATTTTTATACTTACAGAATTGACAGCAAAGCTTCCTCGGACAGCTGGCGGAACAACTCCATATAGTATACCAGCCCCAGCCAAGCCCCCCAAAATCTGGGCAATGATGTAAAAAGCAGTCCTCCATATAGAGATTTGAGAGCCAACAAAGAAGGCAAAGGTAACAGCTGGGTTTATATGTGCTCCACTTATAGGTCCCATCGTTTGCACAAGGGTTCCTATCGCTAAACCAAAGGCCAGCGAGATCTGGAGAACCGTTGGTAGGGCGGCTGGCCATCTCAGAGCAGATCCCAGTCCAAAAAACACAAAGATCAGTGTACCCAGAAACTCAGCAAATACAGCCCGGTATAAGGCCCATGAACACAGTTCTCTCATTTTGTATTTTGGAGCAAGATACAAAAGTACTTTTTATGTATTCCTCAGAGCAGTGGAAGCCTGCACATACATTTGGCAGCTTATATATCTGCAAGGTGTCGAGGTGACAAGTTGAACAAGAGGTGGAGAAGTCCATAGGTTCCACCCCTTGTTCTAGATGTTAAAAAACAGTTCAGCGTAACAGAATGTAAAACCTCCCTCTGTGTCACCTGAAAGCGATTCAAATTTTTTTCATGCATGACGCATAATTAAACTGATTTATATAACATCTGAGATTATACTCTTATCTGTTTCATAAGCTCCTCTTGCCTTTCTTGTATTCTGTCAACCTTCCACTGAAAGATTTCTCAATCCTTGCATTACTTTCTTGGCAATCCTTTTATCCGCTGGCTCGTTCACTTACACTGAATGAAAAAACTGGCACATTGTCTCTATGGTTTTATGTGCCAACTGTGTGAGAACCTGTGTCAGCACTAAGTTAATACGTAGGCTGTTGTGTACATTAATTATACACTTTCTAAAAAGAATAGCTTCCCACAGATCTAAAAGTATATTTACCCTATATATGAAAATAGCAAAAGCGTGCTTGCTTTGGGCACAGAAGGATCTGTGGTAATGAATACAATCTGATGTCTGAGAGCAGACAGTGCTGCTAGGGGATGTACTAGCCCAATACTTCCCTGGTTTTTGGCTCCTGCACGGGTTACGGTTGACACCTGCCTGATTTTGAACCAAGGCCTCCCTTGCCCCCTGAGTCAGTCATCCTGTCCCTGTGCCCACCTGCAGTGTGAATGTTTCCAAAAAGGCATGATGGTTCTTGTAGTTTCTCTTCTTCTTTAGCATGACATGGTTTGCTGGTTTGGCATTTGTTCATCAGGAGGTCATTTTCATTGGTTATGTCTTGGATCATTGGTCATTTCATGCAGAGTAGCTGCGTTGTGCCTAGAAAATGGCATGTTCTGCTGCTGGTATACAATACGTCTCTGCAATGTGTCATGAGTAATTACTGCTGTTACCTCACTTAAATCATTCACATGCGCTGACCTGTCCTGCACAGAATTGTTAGGAGAGTAAAGAAACCACTAGACATGTGCGCCGGCAAAACATTTGTTATGCTTCGTTTTCATTTGCATTTTCTGTTATTTGCTTTTTCGGGATTCGGATCCGAAAGCCAATTCGTTTTTGGATTCAGACAAAATCTGAATTATCATTAATCCCGTTATTGGTAGTATGTACAAATTTTTGTTACAAATTAATTTTCGTTGCAGCAAAGTGACATTAGACAAAAGGAAAAAAAATACATTTTTTTTAACAGTCTGCAGAAGAAGAAAAAAAGTGTGATGTTCCCCCCCAACTGATACCAGACCTTTAGGTCTGGTAGGAATGTTAGGAGGGACCCCTAAGTTAAAAAAAAATTGCGTAGGTTTTCCCCAAAAGTCGTACCAGGCCCTTTAGGTCTGGTAGGAATTTTAAGGGGGAACCCCACCCCTAAAATTCCTAACAGACACTTGATCCGAGCACAGGCCTAGCAGGACAGGAAAATGGGGGGTGGGGGGGGATCGAGCGTCCTCCTCTCGCTGCGCCATACCAGGCCATGTGCCCTTGGCATTAAGAGGTCCCCATGGGCCACTTTCCCACAACCCCGGCTCGGTGGTTGTGGGGGTATGTGGCCGGGAGGCTTTTTTGGATCAAGGTACCCCTTCAATAAAGAGGCACCCAGATGTCGCTGCCCCCCCTTTTGAATGAGGGGGGTTCATTTACTCATTCACTAAAGGGTTACACCAAAATGTAAATCAACCCACCACACTTTTTGAAAAAGTCCTTTGAAAAAGAACTGAGTCCGTTTTTGCCAAGTCCTTTATTTTAAAAAATCCATTCATCGGAGCCTCACACTTTTTTTTCTTTCTTCTGCAGACTAATATCACTTTGTCTAATGTCACTTCTGTCACTCATTGGTGTCATTCCCTCACTGTTTTCTTGTTGGTGAGTAAGACACTCTTCTGGCCAGCAAAGAAGTGACACTGTAGAAGCAGGTAAGTCTTCTATCATGCTGATGTTGCTTTCAGTGGCAGGATCGCTATTCTATGAAGATATAAAGTATAGGGCTATACTCCATACAGTGTTATGACTGATTTGACTTGATGGTGCTCATAGTAACAGCAGCGGATTGCATGCAATGCCACAATAGAAGAAAAAGAGTCACCAGCATTCAAGTGGAGATCAAAAGGTAATGGAGGAAGGGAGACCCTGCAAGGCCCAAAACCTTGGATGTATTAACCTATATGACGCAATATAAATAAATTCATGTTAATCTTTGATCTCCACTTGATTTCTGGTGACTCTTCTTCTACTGTAGGATCGCTAGCCTGACATGACGCTAGCTAATGACACAGCTCATTATGACTAACTGACACTGGTTTAATCACACAACCGATCCATGCCATTTAAAAAAAGACAAACTTAATTTTAACAACTACTGTATACCCCTGCTCACAGCCCCTACCCTGTTCAGCATTCCTGATGTCAGCAGGTGGCAAACCTAGTTTGGCTGATGTGTGCGAAGACCAGCCACTACAATAAACACTTGCAGCGATAACTCCCCGCAGGGAGCCGCTGTTTGCCCGGTCCTCTTCTAGTCGTTCTAGGGGTTGATTTCCAGCTGTGCCCATTAGCATTAACCGCCCTTTTCTGGTGCCCATAAATTGATGTCCACTTCAGTAGTATGATGCTAATTAAACAAGTCATTGAACATCTTCTGTGGGAGAGAGGGTATAGCGGTTCTAGGTGTCTAGGGGTAACCATCAGAGCTCCAGACTCACCGGACTTTGCAAAAGTAGCAATGCAGATCCACCCAACCACATCAGATGACCTCTGATGTACCAGATAGTCCAGGTGGATGCAGATCCTCAATCCAGGAAAAATAGTGACCATGCTCTGAAGCCCACATAGTTCCAGGGTACCTCAAGAGCTTGCACTGGTCCTGGTTCTCTTCCTCTTTCCTTTTCTCAGGCCCTCTCCCTGTTGGAGGCCTCAGGGAAATGCCACATACTGTATACTCTCCTGCCCTCAAGGAGTTTACAGTCTTAGGGCCCATTCACACTAAATGCATTGTGCCTGGCTCACTTTTTAGTGGGGCAGAAGGGGGCGTGGCGGACCATTGAAGTGAATGGCACCGTAGCCACGCCCTCCGGCCACAATGCGCTCGCCTGCACTATTTTGCTGCACTATTTTGATTGCACCGGACCGTAGGCACAATGTGCCTTGCAATCCCGTGCGGGCGATCGCATTGCGGCTGGAGGGTGTGGCTACGGCGCCATTCAATTCAATGGCCCGCCACGCCCCCTCCTACCCCACTAAAAAGTGAACCGGCCTCAATGCGAGTCAGTGAGTTCTGGCCAGAATTGGGCCGGAACGCACTGCATCTAGTGTGAATGGGCCCTTAGGTCCCTAGCACACATGCATATATACACACATACTAGGGCCAATTTAGACAGGAGTCAATTAACCTATCAGCATGCACAGAGGCCACTCTTCAGCTGACTACCCACTGTCTAATTGAAGGAAGAGGAGACACACTAAGGGCCTGGCCATTCAGACTATGCGATGCGTAATGCAGATGGTTTAAAGTAGCACGTTAACAGACCATTAGCCGGTTAGCAGACCATTCAGTTTAAATGGACTGGCAAAGTCTGCTGACACACTAAAAAACACCAGACCTTTTTTTCATGCAGTGCACCACAATATATGGCATGTGCATTGTTGTGTGCTGCAATGTGAGTGCTTGGCTCGCTGCTGTACCAGTGCATCGGGGTGCTATTCAAAATAAATGGCAATGCAACACACCATGGTTTGTGCTCTACCAAGGGTTGTGGTAGCACAAGGTTACCTCAACACCAAAAATGTCATGGGCCCTAAGGGATCTCTGTGCACCTGCTTTCCACAGAAAACAACGTAAGGTACAGAAGGATGTGTAATAGATGACTTATCCTCACATGACTGTCACATATAGACATATATAAATATGCTCTAATCTGTGGCCATCTGCTATCCATGCTGACTCTTCATTTTTTGCTCTGCCTATTACTTTTCTGAGGTTTTTCAACAAAAAGAATGGAGGGGGACACCAACGAAGAGGAAAAGAGTCTGAATGTGTGACAGATGATATTTGCAAGCATTCTTAATTGAGTGCCCAGAGTTTCCCCATGCTTCCATAAGATACATCACTCTTCCTATCATTGAGGAGACTGACCAACCCAGTACATATGCAATGAGACTGATCCAGCAGAGACTTACTATAATTCAAGTAAATTTAATGGGTGAGTGCCCAGTATGCAACTGATGGTGTGAATATATACTGTAATTACTCTGTTAATAAGTGTGTCAATAAATACATAGATGCTGTTTGTAGACTAACATACATGTTCAGCCTTGAATTATTAATGGTTTTACAAGCCATTATTTCAACTGAATTCAGACAAATTTGTATCTATTTTAAGGTTTTAAAAAACCTTTAAGCAGAATATTCCTGAAAAACCCAGACAGTCCTCCACAAAAATGCAAAAAAACACTATCTGCGGGTTTGTCGGCATATTCATTGCATGGAATGATCTTGTTATTCTTAAAACCAGGTTTTGTTTTCACAAAGGGCATCAAATTGAATAAAGGAATGGAAGGAGGATTGGAGAGAGGAATAAGGAACCAGAGCTGGAGAAGAGGATTAGTGTGGATAAACACTTATAACCATGAACTGTACCGAAATCTGGCTGCATGTCATCTGACCTGAACACCCAGTAGCTCCACAGCCACAATGAAAATCAAATCAGGCAACATCATAAATCATGGTGCTAACAGGAGATATCCAACAAGACATAAGCATAACAGAGAGCAGAAAGGATATCTAAACCCAAGAACGAGTCCTTAGATATGGTGGCTGCATTAGTTTCTTTTTTTAGGCTAAGAACATTTTGTGCAGTACAGAATATACCCGTTGATTTTACAGAAATTCCAGTGATTGTGTAACTTCGGCTGCACTGAATTA